GGATAAGTTAAAGTCTGATTTTGAAAAAAAAAAAGTTTTAAGACAAAATTGTCTTTTAGAAAATAGCTGAGAAGTAAATTTGATGGAAGGCAGATCGCTAGAATATGCCTCGGAAAATTGAGGTGGCTTTGATTTCATCAGTGCAATTTTTATGTACAACTTTTTTTTACAGTCTATTGTCTAAAATTTAAATCGATTTTGAATTGCTGGAGTTAAATATAAGCACAGGTATCATTTAAATGTAAACACTGTTGTGGCATAACGCCTTTTTATTGCTTTGAAACTGATAATACTGTTTTTTTACTGTTAATATTGTTTTGAAAGATATTCGTTAATTCTCATTACTATTTAAAAACTAAGGTTAGCATAATCTTTCTCGGAATAGAATTAAATCAAAATACATTTCACTTGTTTCAGGAATTTTTTTCCGACTTAAGAGAATTCTTCAAAAACTAAATAAATATATTTAAGAAATATGTTGTGTTTTAAAAAGAAGCATATAGAAAAGTTACTTGGAAATGATCATGCTACAATTCCTTCAAGAATAATGAAGCAACGAATCGAAAGATACGTCCGATTCATTCCGGTGAAACTTATTTTTCATTCTTTGTAAAAATCTGCACTTTCTTTGTAATCGATTGAGTAGTTTTAAAGTATGATATTTGCATTAAAGGAAGAGGATTTTTTTATCGATCTTTAATGGGATAATTTAATCGAAACATTGTTNTGCTCTTAATTAAATGCATACTTGAGCCAAAAATAGATTTAAGAACAGGATGTGGCTTTTAAAAGTGTGAGAAAGTATTTCGTTTAGAATAATTAATTAGGATGAAGTTTTATAGCAAAGAAACTAACATAAAAAGATTAATTGAAGCTTTTTATGTTACATATATATATACATATATATATATATACATATACATATATATATCATGGGTGCAAGTTGAAAAAAAGGCCAAGACTGAAATTTTTTTGTCTGAAATACCTAACATACACAATACCCAATCGACATATGCAAACTATCTAAGAAAGCTTTACCATAATACATCAAGTTTAAATACTGTACAAAAATATTTATTCATATGTCTATTGATAAAATAACAACAGGACATAAGTAGACCAATAACGTAGACCTAAAAAATATTAAGGACAGAAAAGAAAAAAAATTCCGATTTCCGTATTCGAGTCAGTCTTGTTTCCGTCTTACTTCCGTCCGCGGACATTTTCGAAAGACGGAAATCCGTCCTGGGGACGGAAGACTTGCACCCATGATACATATACATATATACATATATATATATATACATATATATATATATACATATATATACATATACGTATATATACATATACATACATATACATACATACATATATATACATACATACATATATACATATATATAAATACATATATACATATATATACATATATATACATATATATACATATATATACATACATATATATACATACATATATATACATACATATATACATATATATACATACATATATACATATATATATATATTGCATAACGCTTAACGTGGTATTACGCTTTTGATTTGTTCTTAGCTTAAAATATTGAATAATCAGAAATTGTCAAAATATTTTACTTGGAATAAAAAAAAATAGAATTATACCAGCAAATAAAACCTTTAACGAGCTAGGAAATCTTTTTAAGGCACAGTTAAATAGAAAAAAAATGAATAAGTAAATTTTTGTATTACAAAACCTTTTTTAGACTTATTTCCATCTTTGGCTCTAAGACATCAGAAAGATCTGTTGAATTCTATTTGGCTGTTTTTGAGTGAAAAATTTTAAGAGCTATTCTAAGAGGAGTAAAAGAAAATGATGGTTAGAGGAGATGATACAATACAGAAATTTATAAATGTTTTAGGGAACCAGGAATTATACACTAGACTTAAACAGGACTGTTCATGGTTTCGGAATTAATGATCTACCCCCTGTCATACGGCTGCTCGTTTCAGAGGGATCATTGCATTGGATACTTGAAAATCTCTTCAAAGGAAAGCTTTGGTTCATCCTGGACTATCATGATACCGATATATTTTACAATATTTAGATGTATTATGGAAAGTTTTCGGATGTAGATATTGGACGTAAATTTTTAAATGTTTAAGAATACATATTTTTTAACTGTATATTTTTCATAACTAATATTTACGAAGTAAAATGTTTTTTAAAATCTAAGCAAGGGAGAAATTATTCTGCAACAAATAGAGCCAAAATGAATGATTGTGGAATGAAATGCTCTCTTGAAACGGAAAGCGTGGGTCGTATGGTAGCTGGCTTAGTGCTTGAACGAGATGCAACTTAGTATTCAAAATTTTATCAAGAAGAGTTTGTGCTTTTGTTGAACAAGAGATAGGTTACAACCAAAATTCAAGCTCTTAAGATAATCTATCATATATAATTCTCTTACGGGGCTCCCAATTTTTGGCTGTATTTCTTTTCCGCTGGTGGCAACAGTTTTCATTTTTAAAGAAGTACTTTGTACAACTACATAAAATTCTTTCCACAACACTTAAATATTTACTTTATTTTCTTCATATTTACAGAGAACAGTTGGCAAAGAATTCTGTTAGGTTAAAAAACATTTCGCGAAAAAAAGAAAGGATTATAAAAGAAATAAAAATAAACAACTTAAAAAATATAAATGCTGTTGCCAACCATAGAATTTTTTGAAAGTTAACTTAGCAACATAAATCAAAATGACATAGAAGCGCAACTAGATCAAAATTATGATACCCGAGCACAAATCCTTCAATTCCATAAGTGTTATATCGCCAAATGCCCAGATTAACAATTGTGTTTTTAAAGAAATTCTATAAAAAGTTTTAAATAAAAAAACTTCTATTCAGCTACTTCTACAAATGCTTCTTGAAGAACTTAGCTCATTGATTAAAAATATTGTTTTAATTTTACAGTACTAACTTTACTTCTACTTACTGTTACATTATTGCTATGACCCTCTTTCATTACATTTTACAACTTTATGCTAAATTTAAGGATTTTAAGTTGTTTTGTGGTTGAATACTGAGATTTAGAAATGTGTACATAAAAAAAATATTTAGAGGTTAAGAGTTGCCTCAGAAAAATTTGAATTGTTGACACTGAATTTAATAATGGAAACAATAGTTTTTGTGAAAAATTGAACTGTATTGCTGACATCAAAACTAAAAATATTGTGTTTCAACTTAATAATATTACCTTAATTTTTACTCATATAATTACTATGATCCTTTATATATATATATATATATATGCCGGCGTTCAGTGGCAGACTACTATTTCATATTGTTTTACAACGCATGGCTTTAGCCCTCTGGTGGGAAAGACTTAAAAACAAAACTTACAAAAGTTACTTTTCTCAACAACTGAAATTTAGAATAGTGTGGTGATTAAGCAAAATATGTGAACTGTTTGCAATTTCAAATTAATATTGAAATGTACAGGTTTAGAATTTTCTACAGTGAAAAGTTTTCGGAACTTCAGTATTCAAAAAAATATACAAAAGCTAGACGTTAAAAACGTATCCAATGGGCGAGCAAAGCGAGCATTGGATTGCGAAGCAATCCGAAATGAACTGCGAAAGCAGTTCCGGGGGTTGGCGAGTGCAAGCGAGCAGGGGGCGAAGCCTCCTAGTGTCTATTATATCATTAAATTGTAAAGTTTCTTTTACTGAGTTTAAAGAAATCATAATCAAAATGTTACAACCTTTTCATAACATTGAAAAAATGGCTTGTGCCACTGGAAGACTTTAAATTCCTATAAACAATCATCCCTAGAGACTTTTATTTTCAAAATAAAGTTACTGCGTAGTTGCAGAGTTTCAATCAAAACTTGATGACCAACCCTCGACTCCGACATATTAGTTTGTATGGGGGGGGGATGCACGGAAATGCCCTACCTTACTCTTCAGATAGTCCGAGATGCTCAAATGTTACGCATCCGAGAAAGCATGCAACTAGGCAAGGTATTTTATGTGATAACTAAGGTATGTAAGAGTTATTTTTTTCAGAACCCAGACAGATTTTCATTACCCGGTACCCAGTTTTTTTTAGTCTCAAGACACGGTATCTATTTGCGAGTAAAACTCATTCATGTTCAACTCAACCACATTCAAAACTATAATAAACTTAAAAATGTTCATAAAAATAATTGTAGTTTTAAAAATTAGTTTCTAAATAATCTAACTGAAATAAACTAGTTTAGACATGATATACATACTCTTGTTCAGAATTTCAATTTATTTAAACCTTGACGTGGACACCTTTGGGACAGAGATGTTCGCTAAAAAGAGAAATCCACTAAGTTGAAAGGGCATGCAGATTAAGAAATTCAGTGCTGAGAATTAACTAATTTAATATGATAGTTAAAAAAAATAAGAAGAAACTGGAAATTAGTGATATTTATTCGAAGCAAATAAAATTGATACGAATAAAATTCAAAGATAACTAGAGAGAAAAAAATTTATATGTATTACTCTAACTCAATTTGCTTTTAGCTTATGGGTAAATGAATGTATTTGTATCATTCAGTGTTTGCAGGCTTAAGATTATATAAAAGTATAAATGGACAATGGTTGCAAACAAGTTTCTTAAATAAAATAATAAAACTAAGACGATTGTTTTGGATAAGAAACAAAAAAATTTTTTGAAGGTCGATTTCATTTAAAAAAAAACAAAAAAGTCTGTATCAATGAAACACTTATTTTGAAATATTTTACTACATTCAAGGTGAATCTCAATAACTGATTACTGACAATTTAATGATAGGATATTTTCCAGATTTTAATAAAACAAAGCAATTTTCTTCCATCTTTTAGCAATAAAATCAAACTCTCTGTAAATTCTAAATATTCTCTGCACCCCTAGATCTCTAGAAAGCCTTACCTCCAGGCATCTGTTAAACATTTTTAACAAATCTGTTGAGTTAGATGTTTAAGTTTTGAAGCAGAAAAGATGCTAAGTACTAGTTTAATACATACTTTATTTAAAAAAGACTACAAAATTTGCTACAATAAACTATTCTGCAACTTTGTTAGGCAAATGCATTATCTACAAGATTATTTTATACTAATTAGTCCTTAACAGAAGTACAGTAAAATTTTAAATTGATAAAATTTCTAGAATTGCTAATGCTGTAAGATATTTTAAATTGTTGCTAATTGAGAATTTTGGGTGCAATTTGATCAAGAAAAATTTTAAATTAGAAACAAAATAGAAACATTCTATATATAATTATGTAATGGCACAGAAAAAAATGTTTTCTGATAAAACACAAAGCTTATTAAAAATCTGATTAATAAGGAAAACATAAGATTTTACTTACTTTGCACAAAATTACAGAATATTACTAATTTTCACCATGCTCAATAAATATAAAAAGCATCACATAATTTAAAATCCTTTTATATTTATAGAATAAATTAAATTAATTTTGGAAGACTAATTTGAACATAAAAACAATCACACAAATAATATTTAAATAGCTAAAACTGTGCGTTAAAAACATGTAATAACAAAAACATTTTCAATGAACCTCTTTTATAAGTATTACTAAAATGTCAAACAAATTTCAAATGCTAATGATAAATGCAAAAAGGAGAGAACAATAATTACTGATCAATTAATAATACTAAAATCATTACTTGGACAAGATTCATGGTAACGGGAGACATCACTTAAGTCGGGGACAAAAGCTCAAATAAATATAAAACACTTTGAAAAATAAGAAATATCACAAAATGTACTATATAACAAAAATATACAGCAAACTTAGAAAAAATAGAGAGGTATCTAGAATCTGAAAGTTCCTTTCAAAATGCAAAAATTACAATGACATAATAGAAAATTTAACAAGTATAACAGAATGTAGTTAATAAAATTAGGGTGCAACTGTTGCTGACTTCGCTTTTTATATATATATATATATATATTTTCTCACTTTAAAGCAATTTTAAAAGCTTAAAGCATATTATTAATTATGATAACATTTTTCATATTATACTATTTTTTAAACATTAAATGTTACAAAATAATTTTAACTTGAATTTTAAGAAAATTAAAAAGCTTTTAAGAAATATTATTGAAGGTTTAATCTACAATATAAGGTTATTTGTAAATGTTAATGTGCAAGTATGTATGTTAAGTTGGATTTACACAGTAGATATTAAAAAGATACTTATTTTAAATTGCCATACATAAATTCAACCTCAAAGTTATTTCTTTCATTTCAAAGGGTAATTTTAAAGTTATTTCTTTAAATTTAAGGCATTTTATTTTTAGTTATTAACAAGTGCACCCTAATTATAACAAAATGTGAGGGTGAAAGAAGGAAAAAAAAAACAGTTTCTGGTAGAGGTAATCCAATAGGTTAAAATTGGTTAAGTCTATGATTCAACAGTGTATGGAAAAAATTTGAGAAAGATTTGCATATATATGCTTCAACAGTAGTATGGAAATATTTATGATTATCACAGTTAAATGTTAATCTAACATTTAACAGTGAGCACTCTGACACCTCAACCCAAGAAATCTTGGAGCTGAGAAGGCAGCAATATTTCTTCTCTACAAATAGTTGAAAGTACCTCATTTATTATGCTAGTCTGCCTAAGAAATTTATCTACAAGAGCAATCGATAAAGAGGCTTCCTCCGTGTCCGCTGGCTCACTGAAAAACAGTAACAACCTTGCAAGCTGCACTGATTTCTTTTAAGATTTTTTTTTTACGACATACACATACGACAACACAAGTACAGACACATTTTTTTGGACTATTTACACACTTTCAATAAAGCAGTTCTAAGTTATACAGAAAGGACAGTTAAGTAAATACACACAAAAGAAAAAACCAACATTAAATTTATAACCACTTTGACAAGTTTGCACACTACACACGGGTACATCACTTCCATTTTGACATGGATGTACATTAAATTTAAACAAAACATATGAAAAAAAAAACAAAAAAAACTGTTCCAGATCAGATGGATTAAGAACCTTTGGCATCTCCGCATTAGCACAGTATTTAAAATGCCGATAAAATTTTATCACAGCTTAATGCATATATTAAGTTGCATATATTAAGTTGCATATATCTGGACAATTTTCTGGAGTTTAAGTGGTCTCGAACCTTTCTGCTCTTGATTGGCAGTTTAGTTAAGTATTTTAAACATATTTCAATCCAAAAAATTAATTCATTTACCATAGCTTTAACTCTAAACAGATAAAAAATAAAGCAAAATTTAAATAGAGATTTTAATATGGAAAATCTTTTGAAGATAAAACCTTGCTTGATATTCACTTTGTAAATAAAACAGTCCCTTGAAGCCAGTCTATTGCTCTTAGACAATTTTAAGATAGAAAGGATTAAATATATTTCAGGCAGAATAATTGTCAACTAGGAAAAAGATTAACATTGGAATTCTACAATCTACCTAGCAAAAGTAAATAGTGTTAAGAGCCCTGCAGATATTTTTATTCGTAAAATATACCTAGAGGCTGAGCGCTAACCCTGCAATCGAATAAGATACTTTCTTTGGTATAATGAAAGACGTGCAGAATAATTTAAGCCTACAGAGCTATAGAAGGATTCGATCCTTAAAACTTGTGAAGGCTAGGTACTTTAAGAACTTCAGCCGAATTCTAAATTAAGATCTTTTCTTTTTTTTCTGAAACAAGACTTACTAGAATTATATCTACCTAAAAACAAGAATAAATTTAAAAACATAACACTGGCGCATATGGCACAAAAAAAAAAATTCTGGCGGCCAAAATCATAACCCGCAATTGACAGAGAAAAGAGAGAGCTTATCTGCTTTAAATTGCACGCTAAGTGCCCTATGGTACCTGTTACTTTTAAATTAGTTTTAATATGCATTACATTTGCATTGCATCTATTAGTTATTAATATAAGACTAATAGTTTAAAGACATAACCATAAATAGCAGGAATCTTGGTAGAAAGTTACATGAACTCTTCCTCTTCTTCTGGCTTGCGGATCCATGTACCACGACCCAATTGCTGGAACCGGTTAAACAGTACTTCTTTGGCCGCTTGGAAATCCTTGGCTGCTCTTTTCGCTTCGCCGTAGGTAAGGTTAGAGAGATGTTCGACTCCAAATTTAACAGCAATTTCCTTAAAACTTTGGAAGAGAACTGCCTTGCACAGACGTGATTGTAATTGACCTCCAGCCCTGGTGAATTAAAACCATGAAACAAATTATCTCTCTTTTAGAAAAATATAAATTATAAAAATTAAATATCAAAAATAGCACTCCTATTATATCATCAGTATGGTGTAGATAAAATATTAAAGACTTACATTTTTTACCATATTTTGCGATGCTGTAAGTCAACTTTTTTAATGCCCAAAATACAATGAGAATTAAGGAGAGAATTTTAGTTCAGCACTCAAAACACCATGAAAATTAAGAGAAATTTTTTAATGCCCCAAATAAAATAATTAAAGAGTCATGCATATACACCAAACAGAAAAAGGGAAAATTGGAAATTGTGGAAAATCATTGCATAGAGAGTAATGTGAAATAGATGTCAATGCTATTGTTTTATTTTCTTCTTTAACACCAAACCTAAACATGACAGAAGATTGACACTGATAAATAACATAAAAAGGCTTACTTATTTCTTTAAAGTAATTAATGACTTGTTAGAAAGTATTAATACAATGAAAAAATTCATTTTAACATACCACATATCTTTTGATTTAATGATCGGAGACTCCAAAATTTCTTCATCTGTATTAGATTTTGGAAGTTTCTTTACTTTTGAAGATTTTTTACTTTCAGCTTTTCCCATACTCTTCTTAGTCTTTTCATTCCTCTCCGAATTAGAAGTATCATTTCTGTCACGAGTGAATTAAGGGTATTGATATAAACCAAATAAACACAAAAACCGCCATTTTGAAGTTAAAAAAAAAGGCGTTGACTTATACAACGGAAAATATGGTATACAAGATAAAGAATGTTTAAAAATAAAAATTGGAACAGCTGTAATTTTAAAAAAAAATACTAATTTAAATTTATTAATACCATTTTATTTTTGAAAATATTGTTATGCAGCGAAGGGCATAAAAAGAACAGTTAATTGGGAAGTTAACTAGCTTCTAACTCTTCGTAACTAAATCTTCAGAAAATTCCCTTTAACAATTTTTTACTCACTGTAACTCTCAAGTCTATAAAATGAAACTTTGAAAATATCAGCATGACCTTTTTATATTTTCCGTAATGGTTCAGTTTTGCCCAAGTATGAAGGACAATTTAATAATAAGGAATTCAAATTTATACTCAAATAATAAAGGGTCAGAATGCGACAGTAAGACTTACATGAACTAAGATATAGAATTATATACTTTTAATTTCCGATTCCAGAAAATATTAAATTTCATTACAATCTGCTCACCGTAAAATATATTCTTACACGTGAAAGGCTTTATAAATGCAGAAAGAAGAGTTCTGTATCTGGACACCTGCTTTGCATAAATTTCTATTTTACAGACACTATTTAAGAACCAAAATTGAAAAATCTATCCATTTTCATAATATAAGTATTTTTTCTTAGATAAACAATACTACGTTAATGAGCACACTTAAAACGCATAAGAGACAAGATCAATTTTGTTCCTTTAATATTTTTATTACATTGATTTATTATTTGAATGTAAAGCTCGCTTTTTTGTTCATCTGAATATGTGTGCAATTGATTCTTTACATCAAAAAGACATGTCTTTATTCATTAAAAAATCTTATTGACTGCTACCTTCTACATTTTTTTTTTAAATATTTATTTTATCATATTACACATTTAGTTGTTATTAAATATCATTTGACCAATCCGAAAAGGTTATTGCATCACAATTGATAATTATTTATTTATTGTTTAATATTGCATGTTTTGATCATTGTTAAAAGACTAATTATCATGAAAAATATCCTTAGAACTTGTCAAAATCCCAATGATTCTGATATGGAACTACTAACTGAAGTTTAAATAAGCAGTCAGTTTCATAATTAGGCAACATTTTTTGATGTTTTCATGAAAGTATAATGATTTAAAAGAATAATCAAAATATATATATATTATAATAATTATGGAGCATATGATAAACAGATTTAGGCCTTAGAAAAAGAATACTACAAGTCAAGTAAAGATTTAAAAATATGTATTACAATTATAAAAAAAAAATTTAATGGCCACAGAGAACAGTTTCCACTTCTTACCCATATTAGTTGAAAAGGCAACTAAACAGCCATATGACAAGTTAATCTTAGATTGTGTTTGATTCTGTCCCACAGCAAAATCTTACAACTGATTAGATATTGTAATCAAACCATTAATTAGTTACTAATCTCAAGAATTGACAAGAATTTTGGACACAATGGTTTCTGATAAATCCAAAACTTCCCTTAACTATCAGAAACTCTTGTGCACAAATCAAATTGAAAAACAAATTTATCTATATAAAGTAACAATAGCACTTCATTAAATTCAAATCTTAAAATATTCAAAATTAGAAAAGATTAAAAGTCTTATTTCAATAACAAATTTCTTATGTTTTTGCTTTTAAAAATACAATGTTTTATTGATATTATTTTATTTTTAATAATACTCAACTTTCCAATATAGTTTTTATTTACTCAAAAGAATGTTCTCTTAAAAAAAGTGCAAGTACATGTTCTATTCACCAATTTTTGTAATTTTAATATTTTCAATTGCATACTTATATTTATTATTTGAACAACAAAAAAAATTAAAAAATTTGTATTTCAATAAAAAATTTTCTTTTTGCATGACGCATTAAGCATTCATAGAGCAAAAGCATGATTTTTATAGCCAATTAATCAATTTCTATGTTTGTCAATTAAATTATTGAATTTCAATAGATATAAAAAAAATTTTTATATATTTCTTGATTTTAGTTAATAAATTAAAGATTATAATTCAAAAAAGGTATGTACATTGGTTATCTGTGAAATCTTTATGTTACATAAAAACTAAGGTTTTTTTTACCACTCTAAGACAGTTTAAAACAGTTAAGGACAGTGAAACTCTAGTGTTGTGATCAAAACTTGTTTAGGACATCCAGAACTGTCTTAGATTGTCTTAGTTTAACTTCAATTTAGTCTTAAACATATTGAAATAGATTTTTCTTGTTTATGTTGAAAATTAATATTAAATTGATATTAAAAAACTCAAAAATATCTGTAGTAAATCAAACATTCATATATTCAATCTATATGAAGAACTCATCTCGCCAAAAAGTCTAAGATAGTTTCCGGCTATGGAAACAAGAAATAGCACATATCAAAGAGGTGAGCTTCACAATAGACCATAGAAAAACTATTCCCTTTCTCCATTATACTTAAAAGAGAATGATCGTAACCATAGTCACCGCCACTGCTGTAGATGTATGGCCAAAGTAGTTCTTCACATAGAATATTTTTTAGTTTTCGTAAAGTTTAATAGCACAAGAGACAGAAGCAAATATAAACAAAAATATTGAGATAAAATAATTTTGTAAAATTGATGAGGGACATTCAAAAATATGTTTGAGAGATGATCAACCCAAAAAACTTTTGTAACAAATAACTAATGTATATACAGTGATCCGAATAATAAAATGTAATATTTCTAACAAATTAAGTTAGCTACAATTATCTTTACAAATAAAACACCATCTCTTTCAACTTTATGAACATTAAGGAACTTTTTAATGACAATTTTACTGTAAAAGAACTCTCTTTGTTATAATAATAAAGGGAATAAATTAATGCTAAATAATCCTATCCCCCCCCCCACCAAAAACAAAATTCTGAAATTTAAACATGCAGGGATAGTTTTAGTTCTTGGAGATTTTAGCCTAACAACTAAAATAAAACAAACAAAAAAATAGAATGAAAAATTGAATGGGTTCCTTATAGATATTTTTATATTAAAGAATGTTATGCTGAACTGATATAAAAATCAATGAATATAAATTTCAGAAATTTAGATATTTATAAATCTTTTTAAAAAAATTGCAAGATAGCATTGGATTGATTAGCATTATTTTAGAAGCTTAATTGTTTCTTTAATACAATATTTTTAAACATAGTCTGCACTCAGAAATATTGCTTGCATTCTAAAATACAGGTTTTAAAATTTTAAAGAGCTGTGTGATTTGCATGCTGTTTATACAGTTTCTGTAATATAAATCAGTGTTCACATTAAAAAAAATTACAGAGGAAAGAGATAACCTCTTCATGTTTTTCTTCCTTTTTCTTTTTGATAAAATAGCTTTCTAGCACCTTAAAAAAATTTTAATAAGTATTCATTTCATTTAAACTAGTCGGCATATTAGCTGATCAATCCAAAATTAAAAAATTTTAAAACTAAAGAAAGAAAAGAAAAAGAAAAATTAAATGTTTTAATGAAAGGATTCATACACAAGAATAAATCAAGTTTTTTTCTTTTTTTACAAAAAATTCAACAAAATGTAAATAATCTCCTATAAATGTGACAAAAAAAAAAAGTAAGATTAGGGAAATTGGCAGAGAAAATAAGAAATTTTTTTTATAAGTTGTTGCAAAAAATATATATACATAAATAATATGAGTATAATTGACATTAAATCCTACTCAATCAACATTAAGAACATTCTTGAAATAAAAAACGCAATAAACAATACATTAGCTTGGATTACAAAATTAAAGACAAGCACCAATAAGCTGAGCGATATTTATTTAAAAAGTAAATTTATTTTAAAAATTTAAATACCAATTATCATACCATACTAAAAATAAACTAACAAATTTATAAACAAATCATAATTAAAATTAAGCTATATTTGTTAAATTAAGCCAAACAGAATAAATAACTAGAAAATGCTTTTAATCAACAGACCCACAAAATAAACCAAAAAAATGTAATACTAGTAATCTTTAGCAATAAAATAAATAAATGATTCTAAAATATGAAACAAAGCTGCCAGAAAATGAAAAATAGAAGAATAGTAGAATAATAAAAATAAAATTCATTAATCAATAAAATAAAACATCTTTTCAACTAAGTAATCTGAATAATAAAAAAACTAAATAAAAAATGTAATACAAATAATCTGTTTTTAATTTAAACTAAGTATCAATTACAATTAATCAACTGACAAAGGCTTTTAAAAATAGGAAGGGGGGAAAAAAAGAAAAATGCAATATGTTAAATTTCTGATTTTTAAAAAAAAAATAAAAAAAATCATAAATAAGACTAGAGTCCTTAGCAACTCTTTGAATCAAAAATATTGGGGGAAATGAGATTTTGTGAATGATGGAGAACGAAAAATAATGTAACTGACCTTTCGTCAGAGGTACCATTGACTCCACTGGTCAATTCCGGTCGCTCATCTTCAAAACACCAATTGATGCTGTGGGGCTTGGTTTTCTCGGTCTCACGCGAAGGCGTGCACACGATCACTCTGCCCAGATCCGGATGATTTAGGCGGTACCCTTCTGGAAGGAGCTCGTTCAAGTCTGGTTCTCCGACAAGCCTACAGCAAACCGCACGAGACAAATGGCCATGGTGATATAAGTTGCCTAAAAATAAATTACTATTAGCATAAAATAATTTTCTCTTAAAAAAGAAATGTATAGTTTTCTTTAGAAAAACTATCATAAATTTTTGCCACATTAGAATCAAATATCTGCATTAAAGTTTTAACAACTATATAATAGATGTTCATTTGAATGCAAGCCTTGTAGTGTGTCAAAGAAAAAATCAGAACATTTTTCAAAAAGAAAATAAAGACAAAAATCAGAACAATTTTGGAACAGTATTCACATACCAGTATACTTCGAAAAGGTAAAATCAAACTATAAAAAATACACAAAATTTTTCACAAAAAAAAATACATTTTTAATTTTAGAAGTACTACCTATCTTTAGAACAAAAAGCTTTAACAATTTCCAGTATAATGGAACACTGAAAAACTCTTCAAAAATTTAAATCAATTCATAGAAAATTTTTATAATATAGTTTCAGTAAAAAAAAATAATCAGTTTCAGATGCTTATTACCTAGTACAAATATTTAATTAAAATTTAAAAATTCAAGACTCCTTAACTTTTTTGCAACAGGAGTTTCAAATGCAAGATTATCGCTGAGGTTGGAGTCTTTTTCATGACCTGTTCACGGCCAGAGGGTTTTTTTAGTCTAAATCCATGAAATTACCAAAATATGAACATGTTTTTCAATAATAAACTGTAAAGTGGATAAACATATGCTGTATAGATTTTGTAATTCAAATACTTTTAAGTTTTTTCTTGTTTTAATACATTTTTAAACAATTAAAGTTTTATGTAAATTTTTTGTTGTTTAAAAATGCTTAAAAATTTTTATAATTAACTCGTTAAATTTGAAAGAGACGATTCAATAACTGTGAAACTACAAAACTCCAGCCAACAAGGTATGTTACTGCATTTGATGAAAATAATAAATAAATATACTTTCATTACAGTAAAAATTTGATAATATAAGTTTATTGATTTTCTTTTTCATAAAATGCCTAAATTCTTAAAAAGTTTGATACAAGGAATCTTACGGGTTAGGCTATATGCTTGAACAATGTAACTAATGGGTGGTCCCTAAGTTTGAACTATAAAATTTTGTGACTTTAACAAGTATTATTAAGATTAGAACAACAGAATCAATTTGACATATTTCAAACTTATTTCTTTAAAATTATCATTATCAACATTATATTTTTCAATGAATTTTAATGAAATATTAGTGCAGTTATATTTTTTTATTCAAATTCGACTGAAGCCTTTTTATTTTTATGATCTGTGTGACCTATAGCAATTTTTACCAATACCATCAAATTGTCTGTCTTAGCAATTACGAAGTTTATAATAATGTATTGAGGATATATTCAGTTATGAGTGTCCACATGAATTTAAATTTATTTTCATATTGCCTTTAAATATTATTGAAGAAAAAGTAAAGCATATTTTGCTTTTCTAGTATTTTGTTTTCAATTTTTCTTTGTGTCTTTTTTTTTAAAAAATCTGCCGAATAAAGCAGAAAAATTAGGAAATTAAGTTTTGGTTAGATATGTGCTGTGTGAATAAAATTTCACATAAATGGTTTTTCTGATTTAGGTAAAGATGAACTTAGATCAACAGGTGTGCCATAGAATGGATTCTTAGTTTTGAGTCAAAAAATTTTGTAGATTGTGAGAGAATTATGACAATGGATAATTTTCTACAAACATACAACTCACATAAAAATTGTTGACCAAGAAAACAAGTCTTTTTGGGATGTTAAGAGAAATAACAGAAAATTATCTAAAATAGCTAAAAGATAAAAAACAGCTCTTTTCTTTACTCAGTTTCACAAATCTTATCTGTCAAACAATTTACAAAAGTAAATTTTGCAAAAAAGTACTACACCTTAGCTTCAATTGTAAATCTAGGATTGCTTTTAATGAGAAACAATTCCTTGGGTCTCGTTTTGAAATGAAACTAAGTTTGGAGTCAATGTAATTGACCAAATGGCTCAAGTTACCCGAATAGTAGGGTCAGGCTCAAGTATACCCGAATAGTAGGTTCAGGCTCAAGTATACCCGAATAGTAGGGTCACATAAATGGCTAACCCAGCTGTTTTTCAATGTTCTATATCTCGCAGCAATCAATGTGTGCAATTTGCACAAAGAAACATGCAATAAAACTAAGTTAGAAACAATTTTTATTTCAATTAGTTGAAGGACTTACTAATACACACAATTGTTGCTAAACAAAACCTACATCTCAGCAAGAATCAAATATAGTGTTCTCCAGAAAATTCACAAAACAAAAGGTCAGGAGAACATAAATTCCACTAGGTCAGATTGTGCAATAAAAACAAAGTTATCAATAACAAGGTGAACAAGGTAATAAATGTTTGTGGCAAATATTCTCAGGCAATATGTATTTGCGAAATATATTCACCATAAATATTTTACATACATAAATATATTTTACTGTTAATACAAATGGATACAGTTTTGTTAGAATTTTGTTTCATAATTATTGAATTGCTACATTAAACATTGTTTTTGAAAAATATATTTAAATAAATAAACCAAAAGTTACAATGACAACAATGGGTCAATTGACAGGTGTGACAAAACTAAGTATAGATTAAATGTTGGTAGTTCTAGCAAAAAGACGTTGGATTGTAAATTAAAATCTTTTGATTCCTTGAAACTATTTCAAAATTTCCAAAAAATTCCTAATTCAAAATTCGTAAAAAATGCAATGTTTATTATACACCCCATATCAAGAGTATCAGGACAACTATGAACAAACCCTGATTCAACAGCTTCAAAAAAGAAAAAAATATATAAACATTCTAATTTATTCATAATGAATTTTAACTAAAAAAGCTTTCTTGACACAATCATTTTACCATAAATTGTGCCCAGAACGAAACACACAACAATCAATAATAAAAGAAAGACTTACTGAAAATAATCTGCAGAAAATACCGTTAAATCTTAATTTTTTAAAAAAATTATAAACAGAGTGCACTGTGTTGTACATTCCTAGCACTTATCCACACAACAAACCAAAATTTATTACTAAATTCGCTCAATACCATTCAACATCATGTGATGAGCATAGTCTTTGTAGCATCAATTTTATTAAGTGCAAAAAAAAAAGTTTAATTATCTTGAAAGAGTTGAAATTTGGACTCTTAAACTTATTGAAATTATTAACATAATATAATGCTGCTATTTGAAACGCTAGAAAGGAAAATCAAACCCTTATGAATCATAGCTTTTACTGCACATATACAATAAGCTAAGCAAAGTTTAATTAATTTTCTGATAAATTCTATATTTTTCTCATTTTTAGCATCAACCTTTTTTCTACAATTATTACTAGATTCTTTGTTTCTTAAAAAATCAATGTCACATAAATGTCCAGTGAATTTGAATAACCTCATTTCGTAGTACTTTAAATTCCATCATTAAACAAGGTGGATTTATACACTCTTTTATGACAACTATTGCTATGAATTTCCATGTGATCTAAAAATCATGTATTTTAAAATCTCAATTTTTAAATACATTACAAACTAGGAATTTCAAATCCCACGCTTAAATAATGGCTTTTTCAATTGCTATATTTTAGATGATTCCATGATAAATACACAAAGAATGTGCAAATTTTAGACATTATCTTAATACAAAGTAAAAAATATGCAAACTTTTTGCATTGTCATAAAATGCAAAAATTGCAAAAATTTTGAAATACATGAAATTTTTTTTTTATCATAGCATAAATCCAATAAAGAATCGAAAGAAAAAAGGTGAAAATCACAACAACAACAAAATAGAAAACCTGATTCATCTCATCACTAGAACAAATATAACTAATTTAAAAAAAGGTCAAAGTACAAAATAAATTTTTTCTTTAAACTTAAATTTAATTTGATTTTTTGTCTTCGAAATAAAGATTAAAATTGCAAATATTTCCAATTTAAATGCTAAAAGCAGACCTACTTTTTATTACAAAAATGTATTTTAATCTTCAAATTGCACTTAACGCTACTAAATATTCTGTTAAGATAAAAAAAAATGGTATATTCGCCAGATAATGTTTTAAAAAAATTTTACAAATATACACTTTCTATATTAATTATAGAATATCCTAGTGTTGGCATCCGACACTATTTAAATGCTTAAGACATAAAATATTCTCATAAAATATTATCATTTAGATTTAATTTAGCAAAAATACAAGGCATTAGATATTAAATTTAATAAAACCATCACAACCTGTCCAGACTCTGAATCCACATAAAAGCTATCAAAGAAACTTACCAAGTGTGACAGAACTCAAATAAACAGGCTTCATAATATGACTTAGTAGAGCGCCTTGAAGTCCCAAAACATTCCAGCGAGCAATTTTGTCACTGCATGACATAGTACGCAGTTTTTCTCCTCTGAGAATAGCATCCCAGCTTTGAAACCTGTACTCTGTATCTATTGGTATGGTTCCTTCTCCTGCATTCAATATAAATTCAATAGTATATAATGATGCAAAATATAACGTTATTATATACTAAAAATAAAACATAATGTAAGAATTATAAGAGTGAAAAGGTTAAGCAAAAAGGTAAACCCTAGTAAATCTTAAATCAGTGACCAAAATCAAGAAATTTTTTTAAAAATTAAAATCACTTTTAACCCTCAGAATAGTACAGAGCGAGCCATTTACTGGTTTCTTCTTAAATTATGTGCTCATTAATTGCCCATTTGAAATGTTGACAAGAATGCAGTATCATATCTCCATGGTATGAAATGGACACATTTTTCAAATTTAATATCTAAAACATATTTCTCAAGTGAATGTTTTATTGCTGTAACAATACAAATTTTTTAATGAAATTTTCCCCCAAAATAATGCGCTAACTGTGCTTATCAATACACAAATTTGTGAAGAAAGTTTGTGAGAAGAGGATACTAATGAACACTAACAGAGGACCATGTTCAGGCAGTGTAAAACTAATAATTTTACTGCTGTGGTCAAATCGTGTGACTCAATTCAAGAGTTATGTTATGCTGACAATCCATTGATGGAGTTATTTGTGGAATAAGACCTGAAACTATTAAAAATGTACTGGAATATTGAATTCATAGATTGGACTACTATGAAGTTATCCAGGACAGTCATTTGAATGAATATGTAACACAACTACATCAATAATAGGGAGGTTTGCTCTTTCAAATAAAGCAATAAACATTTGGGAACATGTAGTTTAAAGTTTTAAAAAAATTGCTATACCGTGTATAAAACTAAGATATACTGTCAATTAAATATAATAAAACTTAAAATTATTAAAATGATTTTCATAACAATTTATACAATATTTTGAAAAAAGCTATCAGTTCAGTTAAATTTTATTTCTTACTGAGAAAAGATATTGAATATCTACTTTGCTGTTCATAGTTAGTTCTTTAGTTTACATTACTACTTTATAACCTTACGAAATAAGAAAACTTTGAAATACAACAAAAAGCTAACAAAGCTGAAAAATAATCACAATTTTTTGAATTTTAATAAGTAATACAAAACAAATATAAAAAACTTCCATTAAAAAGTCACTAAGAAAAATTGTAAGAAAAATCTGCTAAGCTAAAAAACTCATTTCAAAATAGACTAACCGGCTTCCATTTTGGATCGCAAAAGCCCTTGTAGACTCTTGGTGAACACTGGATGATGTTGGCCATCGTTATCATCAGGAGGCTCTACTTTTTCGCCAGGCTTTAAATTACTAACATAAACAATGAAGAAATTAGATTTACTAATTATAGTAATTAACACACTAAACTTCAAAATATTAAAAGAATGGAAGCTGCAACACTGGTAGCCACAAACACCGGAAAAAAATTCCCCGATTTTCCCAGGCTGATTTTATCTAATTTCAGGGCTTTTTATAACCCCTAATAAAACCTGATTAATTATGGATATAATAAATAAAATCTAATAATCTTATAACCTATTGCTGAATTTGTCATAAATTTTAATGTTAATTTTTCAGTTATGCCTTACTTTTATTCATAATATCTATTGTAAAACATTTAAACCTGACATTAAAACTGAAAATTAACAATATTTTAAAAAAAAAAAAAATTTAATTAAAAGACTTAAGTACCACTAAACTCAAATTAATTCATTTTCGTATATTTTTGGTTAGCTCAATTCCCTGATTTTTCCTAAATGATAAACTTTCTAGTTATCTCTGTTCTGTGGTCACCCTGTACAATAATCGACCACACTTAACCCTCTGAGTGTTAGGACCCTAACCCTCTGAGTATTGTACAGAATTTTCCTTGCTGTGCACTTACATTTTTTTAAGAGAGAAATTGGTTTCTGCTAAAGTTAAGTCACCATCTTTAATATTGGACAAGACAAATGCCTAGAGGTTTAAGAATTGGACACTGTAGGAATTAAAGAGTAACTTATTATATTAAATGTTGTACTCTTACATTATCAAATTCCCACTAAAAAAGTTACGCTTTGTAAAAAAGCTTCCACAATTACAAAATTTTAATCAATAAGTGATAATCATTAAAAAAATTTAAATAATTAAAACTGAAAAAAAATTTCAAATTTAAAATATATAAATATAGATAGATGGATAGTATAACCCTTGACATCAAAAAAACATTTAAAATAAGATTAGAATCTATACACACTGCGTAAATAGAGCTCCATCTCCACATGGTGCAGTAGAAATATACAAGTGGAATGTAACATCAGTTTTGATTTGTAATTTGCCATCGTCAGTCGATTCAAACATGGAATGTTCTTTGCCGAATTCGTATGTTTTTAACTGTTTGTACAGGAACCTAAATAATTCAAAAAGATATAATTATATTACTGGCATATAAATGACTCATCACTAGGGCTCAAACCAGTTATGTAAACATAGTTGCTCAAAAGGATCACCTAAATTTTCATGAAAGGTCACAAAATTTAACATGGTAGACAAATGTAAAAGTTTGAGATACAAGTTATATAGCAATATACAAGTTATATAGTGATACAAGTTATTAAACATATATGTCATATACACTTTAGAGTGCATACCAAATATAAACATTTAGACTATTTTAAAATATGTTAAACTCCACATTTTTTTTTATAAAAATCTCATTTTTTTAATAATATCTTTATGGCAATTAATTTTTAGATCACTTATCTAAGTTTGTTTTTTGATAAACTCAATTTACAATGAATCTATAAGATATCCACATGGTTAGAAGTTACTGACACAGCTTCACATGGTTTTTCAAATCCAGATATTTTAAATACTTTATTAGGATGTATTCTATTAAGACTATTTAATTTCAAATTCACATGATTTCGTATCTTTTTTCCAGCAGTCATTGGCAACATATTTTCACATGGTTATCAAAATCCAGATATTTTCAATACAACATTCTGACACAATCCCTTCACAGCAATTCCACAGTAAATGCATATAGTCTTGTTACTCGCTTTTCAAAAACTACACGATTTTTAAAATCCCAATACTATATCAATATGATAATATTAATGGTGGAAAATGTAAATATATCAAGCGCCAAATTAGTCATCCATACAAAATTTCTGTGATATTTGTTATTACATTGGCAACAATTGTCGCTATGTCGCCAAAGGAACACTGCAAACAAGAAGGCTTATAACTATCAACTTCTGCATCATAATATATAGAAGGGAATCTACTCACCAATACAAAATACTTTGTTAGCTAAAATTCTGAAATTATTTTATTTGATTATTAAAAAAAATAATCTTATAAAATTTTGCTCTCAAAAAATACAAGGGAAAATATGTAAGTAATTTCTTAAATTACTTAAACTTATTTTTTTTAGTCATTATTAATCAAATTATATTTAAATTTAATCAATTAGTCAATTTTTATAAAAAGCGAACCTGAAAATATTTTATTCTTCTCTTATCGATCAATGTAACGGCTAATTTTTATTTCAATACTAAGGTGAACTCGTTAATTCACTGTCGCACCTAGCCGAAAACAAAAATCTATTTATAACTCTTTATTCTTAATTTCTTACAACAAATATGTTTCAGTTACATAGTTATACAAATTCTCACAGTCGTGTTGGCAATTCACAATCGCCAAAGTATTTTCAAACCTAAAATTGACTAAGGGAGGTTGGCTTTATTTTGGAGATGTTATCTTTCGATAAATCATCAATCTTAGATCCCTTCCCACGCTTCTAACTGTCCGTTCGGAACAAATTCATTCTCTTTCAATTTTGAATTTGTGGCGACTGGCGGTGCTCCCAGTCCCAACCGTTAAATATCATTCACAACTGAAAATTCTAGATGTAGAGAATGTTATCTTGATCCCTTTAAGGGACTTTTCTTTATTATTTTTATATTTTAAATGTGGCCATTTTCAAACTACTAATATTTGTTTAATAAAAAAATTTTACTTAAACGATTTTATTCATTTCTTTGAGATAATTATTATATTACATCCAAATTAAGATGTATATGTAACGGCCGAAAATCAATAATCAATGATGATACTTCAACTATCACTAAAAAATTAGTAATGGCGATCACTGCCATAACAGTCAACTAAGAAAAAGAAATCAAAAATTTGAAATAATACTTTGGAGAAGAAAAAAAAAACACTCCAGAAAATTCTTGAAAAATTATGCCTAATCTAGGATATTGATCAATTAGCCCATCATTCAATCATAAAAATTCTATTGTAATATTGATAATAATCTTAGGTACAAATGCTGCTTCAGGGTAAGGGTACAGCTAATACTGTGTAAGTGTAGCATTGAGTTGTAACATATTTGTCTGAAAATGTCCAAATACTTTAATGCTGTCATTGAACTTCTATTACTACATTTTTACATGTACAAATTACTAAAACATCAAGTGTATCATTGATGGTGGGTACAAGTGCCAATTCCAGAAACTTGTAGAGAAAAGGCAGTTAAATTGATAACAGGGATTAAAATGTTTTTCGTATGTGCAACCCACATTCAAATATAATGAACTGGGAGGCATTTACTCTGTTCATTTATAAAGAAGTTAAGTTAAGAAAATTACTATTAATTCAAGTACCTGAGAAAGCCTCTCCTAGTTATAACTTCAGCATGCGAGTCATTTACAACTAAGCCATCTTGGCTCAGTCCCTCACCGGTAATACATCTATTTCCTATAAATAAAAAAAGGTCATAAATTAATTTCTTAAAATAGCATCCATATTTAAAAAGAAAAAAAAAGTTATTAAAACAATAGTAAGTTGCTTAAAAAGTAAAAGCGATATTAAATAGTCAAGTAAGATAAAAAATTTAAATATTTCATTTGAATTTGGGTACAACAGTATTTCAATAAGCCAACTACTCCAACAGTTAAAAATTTAATTTTTAAATCTAATCTTTCAGGATAAGAACCGTAAATATACTATATGAAACAGCAGAAAAGGAAAATCTAATTGAGAGTTATTAACTATTAAACTTGATGTAAACAAATAAAAGCAGGCCACTCCGCAAATAACAAATATGCAACTAGGTAGAGAATTGAATTTTGACAGGCTTTTTTTTCATTCGTGAACCTGGCAAGTTTTTTTTTTTTTAAAAAAAAATACTGGAATTGTTCAAACATTAGTGCAATTTTTAATTTTTTATTGCAAATTTCTCACTTTTTTGCTTTAAATAATGTCTATTTACCTATCATTGAAGGACAATTTATTTAATTCTCAAGATCATTTTATAAGCTCACGCTTAAGTTGATGCTAAGTAAAGACAACAAATAGAGGAAAACTAGATGTTACCAGAAATAAATCTAAACATTTTTTGGAAAGTTTTATGAACATAAAAACTTAATTCAAGAATCATAAAAATTGTTTTTTATTTAAAATGCTATGAGTTGTCAATAGGTTATATTAATCCTTTTTCATTTCTTTTAATTAGGGCACACAATTTATATTCTTAAGTTAAAATATTTTTCAAGTACATTTTTCAGGTTGCATTACAATATACATTTACAAAAAGCTCATAAATTACAATTTTATAATTTATTATATATTGGTAAATAGACATTCAAAAAAACAGTTTTAAAAATTATTCCTTGTGTTTTGGAATATATTAACTTTTAAGAAAAATTAATGAGTGAAAAGCTAATTACTGAGATTGGTAGGTGGTGCAAGTAAGAGATGAGAGCCTCCTAGTTAAAAACAAAAATATTATTCAATTGTATTAAAATATCTAATTATGGTATAAAGGTAGTTTACCTTAATTTTATTTATTTATTTTAATATTAAAGAATCAGAAGTTAGGATTATGTTACTTGAATTATTGTGTTTTTAATTTAAACATAGATTGAAGATAAGAATTGAACTACTTTGAATAACATTTATTCTTTTCGTTTTTACACACAAATTAAAGACTATGTTCCAATCTACGTAATTTGAGAGGAATGTTAAAAAAAAAATACATAATTCTTAGGAAATCAAACAGAAAAATATCACGAATATTGCTTTTCCTAATAATTTTTAAATCAGCACCGAACAGCATATATTGTCTTTCAAAATCGGAAGAATAAAAACAGAACTCATAATTTGGTCTTGAAAGAATTAAATTAAAATATTATCTGTAAGGCTTTATTTTTACATCGACATAGATACTTAAAATTTAAGAAACTTTAAAAGAAAATCACACCAAAGATCATTTTTTACAAAAAATATTAACACTTCATCATTTAATTCAACGATCATTGAAAAGGTTTTATTCTACAAAGAATGAAAATTTTAATTATTCCACATAATTTTTGATTCTAAAGTATGCATAATCAAAAACATTAAAGAAAATATAAAACTTAATATTGCAATCTTTTGCATGATTAAATTATAAAATGAGAAATATTTACCATCATATATCAAATTTTAAAATATATTTTCTCCAGAGAGAATTAATTTTTCCACACATCCACTATGAAACAAAAAATAACATTTTAAGCTGAACTCCCAAAAGTCTTAGAATTTCTATGAAGTGTGATACTTTTAAAAGAACTATTTTCAGAAAATTCAATTTAAAAAAAAAACGCATTTATAAGTTCTCTTGATGAACTTCAAAACTAAGTAAACACCAGACTATCTGTATGTGAATGCCTGCCAAACTAAAAAAGAAAAGAAAATCATAAGACAGATTCAGAAATAATAATTTTTAAAACTATGAAAGTTTATAAAATTTAGTTTCAAAGCAGAAAAGCAACAAACTTATAGAATTAGGTAACAAAATTAGAAACACTTATTTAAAAAAAAAAAAATTTATAATTTTCTATTTTAAGTCTTTAAGAGATATAAAAAAAAAATTTATTCAATCGTAACACCATAAGAAAATACAAAGTTTAAACCATATTAACATATAGTTTTTTAAAGAAATTGATTTACCTGTTCCCAAGCATATCACATTTCCCCTACTATCGGAACCACCTTTCTTCATTACAAGGGCAGCTAAGACTTTTCGGCCGCCCATGTATTCAGGAACCTGTAGCACACGTTCATTAAAAGTCTTATGGCTCAAAGCAGCTATCATATCAAATTGGCTGACAACAGGTGGGAGTTCATTGACTGATTCTGACTAAAAAAGGAAAAAAATCTCATTTAAAACTATTAATGGGAAAAAAATAACACACATATTTGAATAATAGCTTTCTAAAGATGTAATAAGAATTGATATGATTATTTTTTGACAGTTTTTACTTCCAATTCATTCTTCAGATATAGTTTCAAATAATTTATGAAAAGTTGAGTCCTAAGACTTATCTGAGCCAGAGACTATTTGTATGTCAAATAAAGGCTAAAATTTATAATAGCTACTTGATGTATAAAGAACTAAATTTTAAAAATAAAAAAATACTGTAAATCATTTCCCAACAGACTAATGAAAAAATGTAAGTAATATAAATTTTTAACACTAGGAAGATATTTTTATCATGTGCCATATTTTAATCTGCGTGTTAAATAATGTTAACTTTTCAATATTGCTTTTACAGACTTGTGATAATCAGTAAATATCTAGCACACTCAACATGTATCATGATAAAAAATATTAAATATTTCAAATGAATCATGCCAATTTAAATTTTGAACCACAACATATTTTTGTTAATATTTTAGTTTCAATAATAAAGATCAACTCTACAAGAATACCTTTCTATTGAATCAACAATCTAGAAATGATTTATAAACAGGAAAAGTTGCCTCGTTATATGCTCCTTATTACATTGAAAACACCATTCAAAGATAAATTTTTTCATTTAGAAAAATGGTATTTATATAATAGGTATTTAATAGAAAATATATTTAGTCTTAACATAAAGAGTCACTTATTAATAACCTTAAAGAATGAACTATTGAATTCGAATAAAATCACAAACTGATATCGTCAGTTTGCATTAATTACTCTATACATTTAGTCTTTCTTTTTTGTTTAAATTTATAATTCAACAGTTGCTTTTACAAGTTTGTCACAGTGCTATAAATTTATTATAGTTATAAATTTACATGGTTATAATTTAGTTTTAAAGCTCACTTTATTGTTTACACTTCTGAATACGAAGAAATCACCCGAAAAATTGATCTATAAAATACTTTAATCTACAGGGGTGCAGAAAATTCTCAATGCCTGATATTTCCCCAATAGTTTTTTTTAGTTTGAAATTCCCGTCAAATTAAAGATCTCTTAAGTTAAATTTGTTTTTAATATTTTAGTTTAACTTTTTTGAAATATTTTTAGAAAATAAAATTTGTGTTAAAATTTTGTGATCATAATATTTCCTTTAAAAAAGAATTCTGCATGCCATTTTAACCCATTTAATGAAATAGTGTCTCGAACCAATAAATGACCAGAAAAAATGCTAGTAATCAGAATACATGAAGTTACCCCCCTGTATTTTGAAGTGTTTCAAGTTTCTAAAAAATTTGCAAACTAATTTAGAAATGATTTAAAGGAAGGACATAAATTTTTGATAATGATTATATGTACTACTAGGATTATTTATAATTCTAAAAATACTAACAAAATTAAAATTTACGTAAAACTATTTGCATAGAAGTTTGTTTTCATATATAATGAATTCATTAACCGCGAGTACAGAAATTTTCAGGATACTCTGTATTAGATTTTTTCTGCTACACCTAGGAAAAGTCGAATGAAGAGCTTATTTCGTGTAGCACAGATTTTCCTTTTAAAAAAATCATTCACAATTATGTGCTGGTCACAATAGGCATAACATCATAAAGCATGGTCAAGTCCTGAAAATTAATCTCTGAGCAGAGAGGGCAGCCGAGAAAAGAGGAAACTAATGCCATTTAAAAAATTTAGTTAAAGAAATAATATAAATTAGGTAACATTATTGTAGGAATGTTACTGAATTTATAATATATATTATGTAATTAGAAAAGTTATTTTCCTACACTAGTGGCAAGAGAGCTGAATTTGCCGAAACCGCCATTTGCTACGAGACCTCTAACAGCTAATTCTGCGGCTTGTCGGCGAGCATCTTTCTTGGTTTTGTCCCAGGCTGTTGACAGTTCTTCTTCCCCCATGTATGCAACAGCTTTAAACCTAGAATCCAAACATAAATGAATAAATAAAATCAATATTTATTACAACTTTGAGAGAAGTTAGAAGGTGAACAGGAAATAGAATAATGTAATAGTTCAAACTTTCATTTAAACAAGGGGGGGAAATACCATTTTAAATAGTCAGCCTCAATGAATGTCTAAAACCTTTGGTTTTTTTTTTTTTTATAACATGAACAGGGCTCGTAAAATGTGGTCACTATCTTGGGAATTGAGCGTAATTTTTTCCTCTTTTGCACCAGCGTTCTCAACAGTCTTAGAAAAATTCTATTTTTCCTTACATTTGTACTCTTACTTATTCCTCAAACTTCTGATTCTAAACTTTATAAAGGGTGTTAATCAAACTAACTTAGTCAAAAATCAAAAGGAGATTACTCACATGTGCAATTTGAGATTCACGAATCTTAATAGTTTCGATTTAAAAGATATCTGGATTTTAATATTGCATTTCATGGAAATAGCCAATGAAAAAGTGGCTTGAAAAAAAATGTGAAGTCAAGATGAATACAGCGCAAATCTAACGCATATGTAGAAGAGTTATTATTATAATGCACAATTGTAATTAACTTTAGTAACAATATCAGATAAAAAGTATCAAGACTGTAAAAAAACTATGAAGAAATCTGTAACAGTAATTGCAGAAATACCACGTGGATTTAGGATGAAGCCAATGCAAACTCCAGCGTGTCAAAAGATTCACTTAAATGCAAGATTCAAAATATCTGTCAGACAAAAAATAGAAAAACTTGCTTGATTTTATTTTAGCAAAATAAGAAACTTAAGTTTTTTATTCACAATAATTGGGTAATTTTCGAGCAAAGTCTGAGATTTAGGAATTTTCCTACAATATTCTTCGAGCTCTGCTCACTTGAAAGTTGTAGCGAAGTTGCATCCGAATTTATAAATTTGCATTAAAAAAAACAGACTTTAATGAACCTTACTATGCTTAATCATAAATTGTCATTTAATATATACATTTAATTCTAAAAACATAATTCTTTGAAATTAAACAAATTATTATTTTAAATTTCTTTAAACAAATTTTATAATATTTTATTAGCATAGCTGTATTCAGCAAAATTTTAAATTTGGCAGAAAAAGAAACTAGACACGGGGAACATGTTACTGGCTGCCATTTCATATTCTAGGATCCTTATACATAAATGATACTTTTATGCTTACAGGGGTCTGTCCAGACATTTTGTGAAATGTCCGTTTTTGTAAAATTTTGAAAAAATAACTCGTAATTTGTGAATATAAAATAAACGTTAAGTCACATTCTTTCAACCACGGTCCTGCTTTTGTGAATTTGTGCAAATAGGGTCCTGTTTTTGCAAAAAACTTTTTCAAGGAGTTTTTAAATTGTAAAGACATACAAAATTATGCTCAACACTGTAAAATTATAATTGAAAAAAATTAAATTTTAAAAAATAAACAGCAATTGCTGCTACTAAATTAGAGATGCAACATACAAATATTTGGTATTTAGCCTATACTGCTGCAGCAGAATATTCATTTCGGACAAATAAAGGAAGAAGCGTCTGCCGAAGACAAAACTTAGTTCGTTTATATCTGAATTTTCTCTCCCCCCATTCCTGGGAAGGGTTTATTCGATTAACAAAACAATAATGAAGATGAACAAATTGGGAAGGATCCGTTTTTAAATTAAAATATTTTGTGAAGGGTCCGTTTTTATGAAAAGATATTTTGTGAAGGGTCTGTTAATGGATCCAAATTTCTTCTAAACAGATCCCTGGCTTACCAATCATAAAATAAAATCTAGTAGTATGCAACTCACTTAAAGTCTCAACTCATTAGAGGAAATAAAAATACTGAAAAATATGAATATCTATAAAAATAAATTTTTTGAAACTTTACAAGGTAAATCTCGAACCAGGAAATTTGTTTATCAAAAATGAAACTAGTAAAAGCTTATGGAGAAGGATTATTCAGGGTGCCATTTTATGTTGAGATGGTGGAATATTAAGGTGTGGGTGGAGTTTGTATTGGTATAGTGGGCCAGTTGGAGATAGTAATGAAAATAGAAGATGATTAATATAATACTTGAGACGGATTAGAATTAATAAAAAAAGCTTTTATTTAGTAGTATATTTGCAGAGCTCGAGATACCAAATATACATATCATCCATACGAATTTCAGTTGAATCAATTTTGCATAATATTAATAAGGACAGGCCATGGGAGATAAATCCCCCACAACCTGCCTAATCAAAAGCCAAATTAAAAAGTACATGTAATTTGTTCCCAACGGACACAGAAGCATGGGTAGGAGATCCAAAATTGGCGATTTAATAAATTATAACATAGCCAAAACAAAGCCAACCAGCATATCAATATTGGGTTTAAAATAATACCTTGGCGATCACGAGTCGCCAACAAATTTATGTGAATTATTACAACCATGCAACCGAAACATTTATTTGCGGTTAGAAATTAGAATAAAAGTTATAAATAGATTTTTGTTTTGGATTAATAATGAAATAAAAAGTATCTGTTGCATTGATCTATAAGAGAAGGATAAATATTATATGTTCATGTTTGTTTTTAAAAGATTAAGTCTTTGATTTATTTTAAAAGTAATTCTATTAATAAAAAAATCAGCTTAAGTAATCAAAGATATTTAAAAGATAGAAAATAAATTTGTAATGCCAATTGTGGCATCACAAAGCTTATATAGTTTCAAACAGCTGTAAGCAGAAAATATATCAAAACCATTAAATGCACACAAAATATTTAGTTTGTCAGATAAAAAGTTTTTTTAATGATTATTTTTTAGCTTCATAAGAAAAAAAAATTTGACACTTTATCTCCACTGAGATTGACTAACATTTAGTCACATTTTGATTACATTTGTACTCTAATGTACATTTCAACTATATTTTTTTTAAATAATTTTAATAAACACTTAAAGAAATGTACAAATATTTTAAATAGAACGATAATTACTTATAATGGACCACACAGCAAAATTCACTACTTGTTTACACAGGAGTTGTTACACAAATACGACAATATTGCTATGATTAACAGTAACAAACATCAAATATGATAGTATTGCGATCATTATAGATAGTATAGCATATAAAAAGATAATATTGCAAATATTATACATAATGATAGTTATCGAATACATTTTTATGAGTGTTGATAAATTTTATTACGGTTACAAAATACTGACCAATGCTAAAGTATATAAATTAATGAAATTTGAAATATATCCCATTATATTGTGCAACAGACACCTTTTAGAATACAAAATAAAAATTTGTACTTGTGGGTTATACGGATCAATATTTATGTCGTGAACAACTCGAAGAAACAGTCGCCAACATGTGGTGCCATAACTAATAAATGCCTATATATCTAATATTTTTTGCTTGATTCCATTTTTTACCACTTACAGAATAAAAGGTTATGCAAGTAATAGAAAAAGTTTTTATAACTAAACTCAGTGGCGCAACAGCCCATAGAGGGCCTACTGTGCCAATCTCAGTTTTCTTGGCATTGGGCTCTTGGATGCAGGAGCAGGTGTTCTGGTTTTAGGTGCTCAGTCGAACGCAGAATCCCCAGTGTTTAGTTCCCAAGCATGCTTGGAACCCAGGACCACGGGAACGCTAAGCGCTACCACTCAGTAACCGGGCGTCTGTTTTTATAACTTCCATAAATTACGACGGAAAAAAAAACATGCAAAAACCATGAAAAATCCTTTCAAGACCATCTTTTGGAAGTTATTCAACTTAATGAAAATAACATACTAAAAGTATTACAAAACTACAAATCAGAAGCCTTTTATCAAAAAGTTTCTATTAAAAAAAAAACTTTAATATTTCATTCTTAAACAATATAAATTAATATAAGAGGAACATATTTTATGGTAGTGACACTTTATGTTGCAAACATTTGTTTTTTTATATAAAATCTAAAAATAGTGTAGAATAGTTAGATACACATTTAATAGTTAGATAAAAAGCATTGGGATAGCAATAATAGATAATTTAGTTAAGAATTATGTATGAGAATAATAATATTAATATTTATATGTAAGATTAATACTAAGATTTAAAAATAAATATTAAAATTTAAATATAAAATAATATTTTTACAGATAAAACAATTATAATTTAAAAATAAAACTGAGATAAAAGTTTAATTATAAAACATAAAACTAGCATTAAGATAAAAATTACATTACTTTTAACTTGAATAAAATAAAAATTGTATAGAGGTTTTTATTTTTTGAAATAAAAAGAGCCCTAAAGAATTTTTCACTCTAGTTAAAGATAAAGACAAGTTCCCGATATCCATACAAATTATTTTAAATAATAATTTCAGGGCAAATTTTAGATAATTATCATGTGCTTTTAACCCTTTCTTTCCTATAGAAAATATAGTATTAATGAAGAAAAAAATTATTCCCTGAACATTTCTTAAAATAAGTTTAAAATAATAAAAAAAAGTATTCAGATTACGAACCTTGGATTGTGAGGAGGTCCCTCTGATAAAACGATTTCAACCTTCGTATCAATGTGATTTCTTTGGCCATATTCGTATAGAGCACTCACAGGGTTTTTCATTAAGGCAGCAAAGCTGTCGCTGTTTAGGACGTCATTTACATAATGAGCAGCTGAATTTTGCTCAGGAATTTTCCCTGCTGCAGCTTTAGCAGCGGCTGCAGCAGCTTTACGAGATGCATTTCCTGACTCATTGTTCTGCCTAGAATTACGAGAATTCATACGTCCATTGACATGTGGAGTTTCATTGTCTGATTGCTTTGATGAATTGGGAGCACCCTTACCGGATGATTCGTTGTTTTTATTCATACTTGGCACCTGTAAGGAGCTCATAAGATTCATCAAATCTGGAGTAATGGGTATTGATCCATTATTGTCCATGGCTGCATTGTCTTGATAAGTTTTCATCAAGTTCTCAGGTATATCACTTCCATTTTTCAGGTGAGACCTACTGGACTCAGCGTACGCGTTATTCGCGTTCACTTCGGTGGGCGATTCAATTGCACAGCTTGACTCCTCATATGATAGATTGTTAGGCAACAAGCCTTTTACTCCATTTTTGTATTTTTGCCTGCCACCTAATGGAGTCAAAGGCTTTGTGTATTCAATTTCCTTCGGAACATTGTTTGGTAGATTGTTATGCATAAAAGTTTGTTCTTCCCGTTTATATTCAGTCTGTTTTGCTGATTTATCCACAATGTTATTCATTAACTGTTCACCAAGTTGCCACATGGGAGGCGATTCATTAACTTTGGTAACAACGCCTTTTTGTTGTAACTTGTAGAGGAGAGGATTTATTTCTTTTTTGTTATTCAGTCCAACACCCTTAACTAGATCTTTGGTATGTATTGCTGTTTGAGCCCTTTTCAGATAATTTATAATACGAAGAACAATATCATCTTGAGGTATTGCATTGCTTTTATTGACAACTGTGCAAAACATTGAATAATTGTCCTGAAACACTAATCCTAAAGACATTAAGTGCTGTAGAGCCATCTTCACAATAGGTTCTGGGAATCCCAATAAACTGCATAAAGCTTTGCAAGAAAGAGGACCTAAAAAAACATTTTAATAAGTTTTTAAAAAACTATTAAGCTTATATACATAATTTTCTTTCTTAGATTAAATGTGTATAACTACGTGTATAAATGGAACATATATACGATGCGCCAGATGAAATAAAATAAATTTCACACATTTTACTTGCTACTTCCCTTTTAATCTGAACTCTAATCTTTATTTCTACTGAACTAATCTTTCATTTCCTCAAAAAAAAATATATTCCAACTAGGGGAGATTTTGGATTAGACAACTATGCAAAAATCAAAAGTCTGACATGGGATAAATTTGTAATACAATTCTTTTAAAACATTTCTATAAAGAAAATTATGAATTGCTTAATATGAGTAGAGCATGAACGAAATGCATACCCATCAAGAAATATTGTAACTTATCTTTAAAATTATCATAAACTCTATTGTTCATTTGCTTATCATCAGATAATTCCTTTTCTTAGAAAATAAAGATACATTGCAGCTTTAATCTAATATTTCACTTATGTTATTTTCTATTGATTCCAAGAAGTAAATAAAGCTTCATTAGTGTTCTAATAAAGCTAAGTTCCAACAGCTTTAAATGTAAACTACAAAATCAAATATCAGAAGATATTCTTACATCAGACATTAAAGCATTAAGCTTTATTTGCAATCAGTTTAATATTTTCTACCAATGCATGTTTGCTTCTTTTTTTCTTTCCTGTAAATATTTTGACTATAAACTTAACGTAATATAAACTATAACAATGAAAATTAAAAAGTATATACAAAAAAAAAATTTAATTTAAAAACTTACTCTGTAAAAAAAAATTATGACATAAATCTTCTTGTTTTTAATTTTGACTATGGTTCTTATTACACTATAATGTCATAAAAATAAGGCAACAAATCCCATTTAATTGCTATTGATAGCTTTGTTTTACATTTGCTTTGCTTCAAAATTTCACCCCGAATAAAAAAAGATTACAAAAATTAAAGATTTAGATTAACAAAGCTGTCTTGACAGAGTGATTAAGAAATGCTACTCTGAATTAATCAATTTGGACTGATTTGTAAAAGAAATTGCTAAATTACAGGAATAATTCAATAAGTAGAATAAAATAACCAAGGACTCTTAACAATTTTACAGGTAAAAAAAAGTTGAGACTTAACAATAAAAAAATTAGAGGAAAAGGGAGCCATGTCAGAAAAAGAAAAATTATGCATTGCAAAAACCCATTCTAAGCTTAAACATTTAGCACATAACCACACTGTTTTAAAAAACATGAATAATTTTCCTTAGTGACAAAGTTTAGGCTAAAAAATCTTTCTAAGACTGACTCTAAGAACAATTAAAAGCAAAGTTTTGATTCACTAACCTATTTTTTGTTGTTTAAATAGTATTATACAATTCTATTCCAATAAAATATTATTCAATTCAATGACAGAAAATATTTTGAGAAGCTATTCAGCATTGCAATATCTTTTAAAAATGAATATTTAATTATTTTTCTTCCCAAAAATTTAAAATAGAATGTAAAAATAAGAATAATAAGAATATCTTCTCGCTCCCGTGAAAATGACGGGCTGGAGTGTTCAGTAGTAATGCGCCAATAAGAATAAAACTATTTCATTTATTTTGCCCGGAAAACATTATTTCTCATTTTGCATATCATATAGCAGTACCAGTATATTTTTAAGATAATTGTAAATAGTTAATTTATTTTAAACTAGATACTAGCACTAATCAAATACGTGTATTTGGCAAAATAGACACTTTTATGACCGTTTTCTTGAAAATTAACCGAACATTAAGGGGTTAATAAACAAATTTAAAATTTTTAACTTTTTTACAAATTTAATTTAATAAAAAATTAAATTTCCATTAGGTTTTTTCTTTTTAAATTAATATCTAAGATGCTTCAATATCTCTCAATTAAAAACACCTAGTCTTGTTTTCTCAAATGCTTTCAGTTTTGTTATGGAAAACAAATGTCTATGAGTGTTCTCATGCCTAACTAACTTCATGAGAATATGAAAAAACATGTCTAATAAACTCATTCATCTATATCAAAAACACATACTGGCAGATAATTTTTTTATTTATTTGACAAGCAGCAAGTTTTTTGCACNTTACTTGCTACTTCCCTTTAAATCTGAACTCTAATCCTTATTTCTACTGAACTAATCTTTCATTTCCTCAAAAAATATAATATTCTAACTAGAGGAGTTTTAAAATTAGACAACTATGCAAAAATCAAAAGTCTGACATGGGGTAAATTTGAAATACAAGTCTTTTAAAGCATATTTCTATGAAGAAAATTTTGAATTGCTTAATATGAGTAGAGCATGAACTAAATACATACACATCAAGAAATATTGTAACTTATCTTTAAAATTATCATAAATTCTATTGTTCATTTGCTTAACATTAGATAATTTTTTTCTTAGAAAATAAAAATACATTACAGCTTTAATCAAATATTTCAGTTATGTTATTTTCTATTGATTCCAAGAACTAAATAAAGCTGCATTAGTGTTCTAATAAAACTAAGTTCCAACAGCTTTAAATGTAAACTGGAAAATCAAATATCAGAAGATATTCTTACATCAGACATTAAAACATTAAGCTTTATTTGTAATCTGTTTAATATTTTCTACCAGTTAATAGTTCTTTTTTTTTGTAAATACTTTAACTATAAACTTAACTGAATGAAAACTATAACAATGAAAATTAAAAGGTATATACAAAAAAATAATGTAATTTAAAAACTTACTCTAAAAAAAAAGGGCATACATTTTCTTGTTTTTAATTTTGACTATGGTTCTAATTACACTATAATGTCATAAAAATAAGGCAGGAAATCCCATTTAATTGCTATTGATAGCTTTGTTTCATATTTGTTTTGTTTCAAAATTTCATCCTGAATTTTAAAAAATGATTAAAAAAATTCAAGATTCAGATTAACGAAGCTGTCTTGACAGTGTGATTAAGAAATGCTACTCGGAATTAATCAATTTGGACTGATTTGTAAAAGAAATTGCAAAAATGCAGGAATAATTCAATAAGTAGAATAAAATAACTAATGACTCGAAACAATTTTCCAAGTAAAAAAAAAGTTAAAGACTAACTGTAAAAAATTAGAGGAAAAGGGAGCCATGTCAGAAAAATTATACATTACAAAACCCATTTTAAGCTTAAACATTTAGCACATAATCACACTGTTTTAAAAAACAGGAATAATTTTCTTCAAAGAGAAAGTTTAGGCTAAAAAATCTTTCTAAGAATGAGTTTCAGAATAATTAAAAGCATAAAGTTTTGATTTACTAACCCATTTTTTTGTTGTTTAAACAGTATTATACAATTCTATTCCAATAAAATATTATTCAATTCAATGACAGAAAATATTTTGAAAAGCTATTCAGCATTGCAATATCTTTTAAAAATGAATATTTAATTTTTCTTCCCAAAATATTTAAAATAGAATGTAAAATTACGAAATACTTAATAAACAAAATTAAAATTTTTAACTTTTTTACAAGCTTAACTTAATAAAAAATTAAATTTCCATTAGGTTTTTTCTTTTTAAATTAATATCTAAGATCCCTCAATATCTCTCTCAGTTAAAAACGCCTAGTCTTGTTTTCTCAAATGCTTTCAGCTTTGTTATGGAAAACAAATGTCTATGAGTGTTTTCATGCCTAACTAACTTCATGAGAATTACTAATATCAAAAAACATGTTTAATAAACTCACTCATCTATATCAAAAACACATACTAACAGATAATTTTTTTTTTTTTTTTTNTTTTTTTTGGACAAGCAACGAGTTTTTTGCACTGTCATAAAATCTATTCAAATAGATAATGATTTTTTTTATGTTTTAACTCACACATTCAAGTTAGGAGCAATTATCTTTTTTAAAAAAAATTTACCATGAAAATAATCTAGTACTTCAGGTAATTATTTGAAATTTTCAAAAAATAATTAAGATATGGACTTTAATGAACAATAATATTTCCTAGCTTTTTCAATTCTCAATTAATTTTTAATTTTTGAGTGCATGCACAAAAAAAATAATAAATAAACCTTTCACAGAGATAGAAGCAAGTAATTGCTTTTTCTTAGATTGCTTTAAAAAATTAGAATATGTCTTCCCTCATTCCGTAAGAGACGTTTGAAATACAACATAAATTTCATAATTACACAAATTTCTTAGTTTTGTCAAAAACTTTTTTTTAATTGATTTAATTTTTATCTCAAAAATATGAATCAATCAAATAAGCTAAAAAATGGGAGGTCCGATAATTTGGTTGCATCATACGAAAAAATTTATATTAAAAAAAAAAAGAGGTTTTCTATTGCCACTGAATATAATATGAAAATAGCTTAATCCCCCCTAAAATATGTTAACTTATAAACAAAGAATTTATATAAAATAAATGATAAATAGGTGTAAGTTGTTTTAAATTTCACACTAAAAAAAATTTTACTAGTTGACATTTTAAATTATTTACATTTTTTATTTTCTTATAAAAAAAAGTTTAAGTGAATTTAAATTAAGATTTTAATCAGGATTTTTATCAAGCTGATTTAAATCAGCGAACTCAGCTTAAACATGATTAATGTCTTGTTGCATTTCACTTAAAATAATAAAATCAATTGACTAGAATTATCAGGACTAAAAAATACCCTGAAAAATAAATAAAACTCATAAAAATTCAAACAGAATATACTCTAAGTTTGACTAGAAATCAAAAATAGTAACCCAGAAACCTTTCAGACAAAATATATCTCATAATGACTATAGCAATTTAAAAAGAGTAGAACCAATGAAAGCTAATTCACATATAACACAGTAAAAAAAAAAACATAGCTAACAACTTAAACTTACTAATTCATAATAAAAATATATGTTTCAAAGCATTACCTTTTTGTTTGTGCAGTATATTGAGCACAGCTTCAGCAGGTTTGGAAAGATATGCTGATGGATTAATGCTGTTTGCAGCATTTTGCATGGGTAAAGGAGGAGCAGGGATTTGGCGACCACTAAAAGATTGGCAAAATTCCTCGGATGTGGTACTACTAACTACTGTATGATAAGCAACCTATTAAAAGATACTTAACTTTAAAAAAGAAAGAAATTTGTGCTACCAAGAACAAAACAATCTTGTTCCAAAGATACAAAGTAGGATACTTTTCAATTGGATAGGTAAAAGGAAATTTTAAAAAAAATTTTTACTTTTTTCAAATCATTTTATTTTTTAGGAATGCCCATTTTGTTCAATGTTTAAAAAAAAATTTTATTAAATTAAAAAAATTGGAAGTTACCTTTATGGTGATTTTCCTTGCACCCAATTAACCAAAAAGTATTCAAAATACATATACCAAAGTATCTTGGAATAAACATCTTTCTGAAAATCTTAGAAACAACAAAGCAATGGTAATATCTTATTTTGATTTATTTTATGCCAAATATTTTTCATAGCCAATTGAGCAAAATTTTAACATTAACTGAAAATTTTCAATTAACATTAATTGATGGTAAGATAATTATATAATAAAAACTTTTTTGCTCAATTTCATCATGTTCACAAAATGTTTGACAGTTAAGGTAACTGAAATAAAAATTAGGGTAGAGTCCTACTTCAAGCTTTTAACATATTATCTTCATAGAAAGCACTCTTAGTCAGATTTATGACAATCTATGTTTTGTACTTGCAGAGGACACAATATGCAGAGTTGAGTGAAAAACTTACTATTTTATGATAGCAGAAATTAAATTTGTATTACTTAAATTTGAGCCTACTTAAGCGAACATAAAAATATGAAATCATTTAAAATTCAGGTTTTCATTTTTTTTATTTCTTTTAGAAAAAAGAAATTGTCAACAAAAAACTATTTTAAAAAAGGAAATATCTAGATAAAAATTTATAATAAAAAAGTTTAAATGTTCTTACTTTCACAAAGAAATATCAATACTGTGTACGAAATTCTCTGGCAAAAATCCAAGATCATGCACAGGTACACAGCATAAAGACTAATTAAAATTGGTACCTTTATTTTTGGTTAATTCAGTGTAATCAAAGCTATGAAAGATGGGCAATGTTATTGTAAATTTAAGGACATGATTATAAACTTTATGAATACATTTTTCTTGAGAAAAAATTTTTTATCCGAGGTCTGGTAGTTTGATAAAATCTGATATTGTATTGTGCTACAAAATTTTTACAAAGTTATGAAAACCAGAGTTGGCATTTTGTCCAAAAGAAACCTGCTTCTTCCAGGACAATATGAGAAAATGAGAGAAACCAAAAACCACCAATACAATAGTTTAACTATAAGTATTATAAGATTTTAGATGGCTCAGCAGGTAGTCAAAAAACTGGGTTTCCTCAAAAACATTTAACATACTGGGTTTTTACATGGTTACATTGAATTTTTATGAAGTTAATTAAGTTTCTTAATTATTTTTTCTTTATACTCTTGTTGCATTAATAAAAAATAGCATTAATTTAATTTGTTAATTTTGCATTTTAAACAGGGTTCCCACTCTATGATGAGATTGAAATTCAAGGACTTTCCAGGACTTTTCAAGGACCTCAACAAAATTTTCAAGGACCTTNTGTAACAAGACACACAAGTCAGGGAAAAAGAGTATTTTAAATATATTTTTTACAAATAAAATTACTTTCCTATTTCATTAAATTGTAATTTTAAAAATATCACATTTTGGTAATAATCTAAAATTATTATATAAAAAAAACTCATTTTTTAATTGCGTAAAATCATGAACCGAGCCCACCCAGGTTTAAATCAATGTGTACCACCTTGTCTTGGAAGCAGGGGCGTACGCAAGAGAGGGATTTAGGGGTTTAAACTCCCCCCTTGAGCTCAGATAAAATGGCAAAAATAAAAATTTTAGTAGAAGTTATGCGGGATATTATTTTTTAAGACTATATATTTTTATTTGCCTTATGCCTACTTTTATTTTTCATGGTATTTTTGAGTATACTGAAAAAACATTTACTATAAAAGGGTTATACTTTTGAAACCAAATTCACGTGATACTGTTACAGGCTGCTTTGCAAGAATGTAACAATTTTGAATTATTTTGATAAAAAATCATGACCTGAAATTAGATAGGTGACAGCATCTAGAACCAATGAAAGTTTTTCTGTTGAACAGAAATGTCATACTTCCATTGAAGAAAACGTTTCTAGCATAACAAAATCTGATGAATGAGAAAGTGGCCCTCAAAATGCTACTTCCCACCCATATGACATTGCACATTTTTCAGAAGATATTACATGCGAGAAGATATTTCATTATGTTCCTAAACTTAAAAAATCAAATCAAAATTTAACTAAACAATGCTGTCTAAATGAAAAGTAAAAATTGTCTAGCTGTCTAAATTAGGGAAATAATAGTGCTTTATTACATACTCGAATTTCTTTTAGTAGTTTCAGAAAATTATGAACACCCCCCTTGAAAAAATTCTGCGTACGCCACTGCTTAGAAGTAAAGACAGCTGGTGCACAATTCTGACCACATTGCCACCATCCTGTTGGTAACAATTGTGGAGCCTTAATCTCCATTACCTTGGCCAACAACAGGCTGTTTTGTAAATGATTTACTTTTTTAAAAGTATTCTTAGAGTATCTTAAATTTAAGAAAGAAAATTTAATATATTAAGTTAAGTAATTAGGTTAAAAAGTTAATAGATAGATAATAATTAGGTTAAATTTTTCACATCTATCTTTCTAAAATAATTATTTTTGTATTTGTTTCAGTTTTATACAGAGTTTTAAAATCAGTAGTTCATAATATTATTTAAGAATCTGAGTATTCATACTTTATAGCAGTTAAAATTTAGTTTTCTAATTTTAATTTGGAATTCAATTTCTGATTTAAAATTTCAGCAGTAATTTCAGCAGATTTTACTATACTCAAACTTTAGTTTTTGACTACAACAACTGTTTTTTGAAATGACACATCAAAAACCTGTCGAAAAGTGTCAAAAATTGACATAAACTGTCAAAATCCATCAAAAACATGGGGCAAGTTTCTTTATTGACTTAGGAGACATTTCATTAAATGCTCAATCATTACGATACTTGACTAATGTACTACAATAATTATGATTTATAGAATACATCTCATAAAAAAAGTAGCCAAAATTTTTAAAAATATTGATTTTTCTAAAGGTATTCTTAATACTTTAAGACCCATATTATAAATATTAGGCTTATATTACAGGTAATAACTCAGTTATTTATTATCAATCTTAATATTGATTTTAATTTTTTTTACGTTACAATTTAAGCATATTTTTTAGATTAAGTAAAATTAAAGCATTCACCAATAACTGGCTGATCTCAAATTATAATTTTTTTTTATTGATTCACAATATTTGTTGTTAATTATATCAGGGGTGCAGAATATGACTGCGCAAACGAGGCTTTAGAGAATATTCAGACAGCCACAGTGAAATTTTTGGCCTTAAATAATTCCTACCAAATTTTTTATTTAAAAATGTGTCGCTTTGCAAACTTTTTTCTTGTTAAAAAAACACAAAGAATGAAAACTAACAAATACACAAATTAACATAAGTTTATAAGTGGGAACTTTGAATTGCTACTATTTCAATATACAATAAAACCTTACATTATGGATATTCCTACAAAACAGACATTTTTGATTTCCCATTAATCTTCTATAAATAAACCATTATGAACCTTCTCCGCAAAGCGGACACTACTGTAATAGTGCGCAGACAGTTATTTATGCCCCAAAACCTTATTTTCATCTCTTCAAACCAGAAACCAATTTTTCTAAATTTAAAAAAAAAAAAAATTTTACTTTAACAGGGTTCCAACTCTATTTTTTTAAAAAAAATTCAAGAACTTTTCAATGACTTTCAAGGACCTATTCAGTATTACAATTACATAATAAATTACATGTCAACTAGATTTTACAATTATGTAGAAGCATAAATTGTATATTTTTAAAGCACAATGCTTACTTGACAACAAAAAAAATTATTAAATTTATCATCTAATGATACAAATGGTTGATAGTTACATTGCTGTTTTCAAATCACTTTGAAAAATTCTAATTAACTAAAAATTAAAAATAAATAAAAAAAACTCTGATTGACATAGGACACTAGCCAACTTTTAAAAACTAGCATCAGTGAAACTTTTCTTGAAAAATTTAATGAAGTGAATTAGAATTGATGAAATTGTGTGAATGAATAACGCATATTACAAAGCACAGTAAATAATTGAAAAAGTTTTGTAATTGCATGGTTATTAAAATATAAATAGTTTTATTTAATATGTTAGATCAAATTTTAGGTTACAGGAAATGTGAAAAATTATTTAAAATATCAAAATATATCTATTTAACATATCTATTCAATTTTACTAACAAATTATCTACTTTGTTACCTCAGAAAATTAGTATTGTATTTTGAACATAATAAAATCTATTCTAGAGCAATATTTTACAGAAAACTAAGACTTACCAAGCTTTATTTTCTTTAAAATACATATATCCATAAAATGTGAAGCGAGATTTTTAAAATTAGGTGAATATGCATAATTTTCACTAAGCGTAATTTTTAAATCGCATTTATATGAATCTACACTATATGTAAATCAAAATTATAACAAAGTTGAAGTAAGTCTAAAAGATTATGTAAATCACGTATCACAATGTGTGATTTGTAAATTGAAATTGAATTGCGGTTATGTTNAATTTTTAAAATTAGGTGACTATGCATAATTTTCCCTAAGCGTAATTTTTAAATCACATTTATATGAATCTACACTATATGTAAATCAAAATTATAACAAAGTTGAAGTAAGTCTCAAAGATTATGTGAATCACGTATCACAATGTGCGATTTGTAAATTGAAATTGAATTGCGGTTATGTTTCTTAAATCGGAACAATATGAATAGCAAATGATACAAAATGCACAAACTAATAAGACGTAAATCACAATGTGTGATACATGAATCACTTTAATATGAATTATGTTGCGTAATTAGCTAATAGTTTTCATGTGAATTGTGATCATTATGATGCAAACTGCAATTTGT